TGTTACACCTTCCGTCACACACTCACTCCGTCTTTGTTTCTCTCTGTTTCTTCTATTAACCCAGCAGCTCTCCACTTTACCCAGAACAGCTCTTCTCTTTACCCAGCACAGCTCTTCTCTTCACCCAGCACTGGTTCTTTGATTTTCAACCTTCTTCCTTCTTTCCCCTCCTCCTCCTTTCTTTTTCTTCTTCTTTCCCTCTCCTCCCCTCTTCTTCCTTCTCTTCCCCCCTTCTTGATCTATTGGGTTCTCCTCAAGAATCGAGAACCGAGATTGGGTTCTCTTGGAGAATCGAGAACCTAGATCGAGTTCTCCTTTTCCTTTTGAGTTCTCTTGGAGAACCCAAATCAAGTTCTCAAAAGGAGAACTCGATCTGGGTTCTCGATTCTCTAGGAGAACTTGACCTGGAGAACCCAGATTAGGTTCTCAAGGAAAACCTAGATTTGGGTTCTCGATCTGGGTTCTCCAAATGGAGAGAGAAAAAAAAAAAGAGGAAGAAGGAAAAAGGAAGAAGATAATGAATTTGGTAGAATTTTTACAAATTTAATAATATAGTATGTTGTTTGGTTGATAAGAAAATTGGAAACTTTCCTCCAACATTTCAAACCCAACTCCATGTCTAAGAGAGAGAAAAGGTCAATCACAACAACAAGAGGGAGAAAGGAAAGCAGAGATAGGGAGAAAGGAAAGCAAGGAGAGCAAGAAACAAGCATTTGGAGTTAACAAATTAAGTGAAGGTGTGTGACGGAGGGTGTAATGAAAAAGGGTAAATGTATCATGGTCCTTTAATGAATAAAATGAATGGGTGTCAAAAAGTGCATTGAATTAGAAAGTGTACCAATAATTTTCTTTTTGGTAATTGGGTTTAGAATGAAAAATATGAATCATAGAAAAGTTATTGTTAAAAAATGCGTCAAATATTTAATGGAAAATTTTTTAGGCCCATTTCTAGGGTGACAATGTGTCTATATTAAGAGTTGAGTTATATACTTTTAATAAAATTTGTAACTCATTGGGTTGGGTGTATTAGTTATAGGAGTACTTTTAACTTATTTTGAAGATATAGATGTCAAAATGAGGCCACTTCTATAAACATTGAATGAGCAATTTTCCATATCGCTCATGAATACCAAGATCATGTACAAGGCCATAATGTGCTACCTAAATGAAAGGCTTAACACTCAAATTATTATGTGTTTGATGCCATTGTTGTGGAATAGGAGTGGTTGACTTACAAGGCTTTGTTACTTTTATCATGCACAATAATTCATCTTTGTCTAAAAGAATATATATATATTTTTATTAAAATAGTCGAGATATTGTTTTAACTTTGTATTTTAATAAGAAATAAAAATATTATATTGACCAAAGCGCTTATTTGCACCCTATACATTTTTTCTTTCT